CACCCCGTGTAACAAAAAGCATGGTAGATAATAACCTTCCAAATCGTTGTGGAGATATCTCTTGATGGAAATGATTTCTATATTTTTCTTTTTTATTTATGCTTTTCTGCATTTATCAAATTGTAAGTAGCAGATACTACTTTTATAATTGGAATAAAACACAGTAAGTTATTTCTAAAATAAAACAATCAGGACTGCCTGTTGTATTCTGGACTGTATAAAGCTTCTAGTTGTTCTTTGCTGGCCTTCAAACGACAAGCAGGAAAGAGCCCTGGTCGAATGTGATCTTGAGTCTGAGTACACAGCCTTATGGGAGCTTATGTACCCTAAAGGCATCCTAAAGCCCCTCATTTTGGGGGTATGTTAACAGCACCTTCTAAGTTCTACCACACCTACCTGCCAGGAAAGAAAAGAAAAAAAACACTATTGGAGACAATTAGGTAATCTCCGAGGGAGAGAGATAAATGGAATCAGCTAAGTGGCCTAATAGGACGCTAGGTGGAAGACTGCTTATGAATAGTAATGATTCAGCTTGTATTATGCAAAATCTTGCCACCCTGCAGTCACCAAAGTGGGTCACACCTAACCTAGAACATGTCGTGCCCAGATATGGCAATCAGTGCGGCAAGTACAGCCTTCCTGAATTAGAAGGCGCTCAACTAAATTGCTAGGACGGATTTCTGATAATCCATGGGATCCCAAAGGTGGATTTTGTTCCTATGAGCCCAGGTACTAACCTTTGCAGGTTAGGATCCAAACGAGGCCAAAAGTATTGCTTCATGCTCAAGGGGGCCCATGGGCTCCATTCTCTGCTGAGGCCACCAGCCCTAGGCAGGGGTGCTCTTTGGAGCGTTTGCTCATCTAGTTATTCAGCATCATCAAGTGCATGCTATAGTTGAGGCCCTGTAGGAGGCCCATGGCATGCAGCAATATCATTCTGTCCTCAAGGTGTCTGTTCAAGTTGCTATTCAGTCATTCAAAGCAGCGGTCGCCAACCGGTGGTCCGCGGACCACTGGTGGTCCGTGAGGTCGGAAAGGTTGGCGGCCGCTGATTTAAAGCACAGTTGTGATAAGGGTCAGCTGCAGTGAAACGACCATTTAATGCCATAGATGTTTATAAAGCTGGCCTCCAGGAGTAGGTGTTTAGATTGAGCCCTGAAAGAACAGTAGGAGTTAACCATAGGGAAGAAGGGAAGGGCTTTTCAGGCAAAAAGGACAGCACGAGTGATTGCCTGGATAGAAGAGAGCTTGGCGGACCAGGGGCAATCCCCACTTCCTTACCGTATGGCGAGGGCGAGTTCAAGTTGGGGGAAAGGAGGGAGGAGCTGGAGATGAGGCTTCAAGGCCTAGTAGACCATATGATGGAGTTAGGACCTGGACATAGATTGGACATGAGGGCTGAGGAAGGAGGAGTCCAGGTTGATTCCCAGGTTCCTGTGATGGGAACCTGGCTAGGCAGTGGTAGCATTCTGAGACGGGGAATAAAGCAGATGGAAATGATCTGCAGGGGATGGTGGTGATGAGTTCAGATATGTGTAGAGGACATAAGAAGGAGGGAAAAGAAAGAAGAAGGATAAGAAGTGCAATGACTCTAGGCTCTATGTGCCCTCTCCACTGAAAACAGAATTCCAGGTGCATGACCTAATGATGATGAATGGACATTGGAGTCAAATGGGATAGGACTGTCCTTCCTGCAGGGATAAGCTTTCTCTTAAAATATGAGGGAGTTACACCCTGGCAGGGTAGCTCAGTTGGATAGAGCATCCTCCGGATATACCAAGGTTGTGGGCTCGATCCCTGGTCAGGGCACATACAAGAATCAACCAATGAATGCATAAATACGTGGAACAACAAATCTCTCTCTCTCTCTCTCTCTCTCTCTCTTTCTCTTCCCGCTCTAAAATCAATAAATAAAATGAAAAAATGTATATAAGGGAGTTCAATAAAATTAACCATTCCTAATATGATAAGAATGGCACCAATGGGCCTGACCAATTGGCTCGGTTGGTTGAGTGTCATCCCACGCACTGAAGGGTTGCTGATTCAATTCCCAGTCAGGGCAACTGCCCCTGGTCAGTTTGATCCCTGGTCAGGGAGCATGCGGAAGGCAACTGTCTCACATCGATGTCCCTCTCTCTCTCCTCTCTCCCTCTCTCTAAGCATTTCCTCAGGTGAGGATTAAAAAAAAAAAAAAAAAAAAGAATGGGACCAATGGGCTTGAGCTTGTCTTCAGATGAAAAAGAAGCCTTGATCTTGGCAGACTGTTAAGAATTTATGCATTTCCCACAGCAAGCCATTTACTTCCTAGTAGGGTGTTGGGCAGTGCCCTATAAAAAAACAAAACAATTAACAGTGGAGATAAAACATTCTCTGAACCTGCCCATCTGGTTTTCTTCCTTTCCCTATGACATCAGTCTCCTCTGACATCCCAGCCAAACAATTTTTTCTCTGTCAGGCTCAGTCATGGCACTGACCCTTGGGAGCAGTGGGCAGGAGAGGAAGTGATGGGGAGTGGACCTCAGCGGGAAGATGAGTCATCCTGAGGAACTAGTCCGGGCTGGCAGGGAGATCTGTGGGCTGGGCTGCTGTGGAATGTGTTCCTGGGCACAGCACCGTGGGAGCTCTCTCTCTGTCGTTCTTTGCCACTAGATTTGTGTGATGGGATAAAATAAAACCTCTTCTGCAGAGCGACCTAATAAAGAACTTGCCATGCGGTGGGGGTGGGGGGGGAACAGCAGAGCTGGGAGGTTTGGAGAGAATTTGGAATGGGGGTACAGAGAGCTTTAGGGAAGCAAGTGCCATGTGTGGGAAGATGAAAAGAGGAGAAAAATCGGAAAGATAATGCAAGAAGAGTTACAGTGTGTTGTGAACATCATTCCCCTTTGGTGTTTTGTAAGAGACTGCAGAAAATCTTTAATATTGTTTTTCAACTTATTTTTGGAGATTGAACTGTTTTATTTTAGTTATTTATTTTTAAAATATATTTTTATTGCATTCAGAGAGGAAGGGAGAGGGAGAGGGAGAGAGAAACATCAGTGATGAGAGAATCATAGATCGGCTGCCTCCTGCACACCCCCTACTGGGGATCGAGCCCGCAACCTGGGAATGTGGCCTTGATCGGAATCAAACCCAAAGCCCTTCAGTCCAAGCATGTCAAACTCAAAGGCTAACATGGGCCAAATAAACAAGGTGTAAGTTTATGTGGGCCGCAAAAAAACAAAAGCTTCAATTTTCATAGAACCGTAGGTTTATTTCAATTGAGACATGCTGAATACAAAGGGCTGAAATAAATGAGTCATCGTTAACATAAAACAATAGAACATTTTAATAAAAATTAATATTTTTTCTTGAACATTACCTTACCAGACACTGAATAACTGCACAAGTTAATAAGAGTAATGCAAATAAACCTATTTTTCTTGTTCTCTGAAAGCAAAATATTTCCTGTTGCACACACCAC